TAAGTTTTGAAATCCGAAAAACATAGATTCAAGAGAGGTTCTTTCAGTAATCTTACCTCGAATCCTTCTCTTGACGTTGAAAACTCTTTGAAATCACTCTTGGTTCGAATCCGGTTTTGATTTGAGACACAAATGGGAGAGAGAGAGCACGGAAGAGAGAGAGAGAGAGAGAGAGTGAGTGAATGCACGGGAAGGAAGAGAAAAGGAAAAGAAAAAGAAGAAAAAGAAAGAAAAGACATATGGCAAAATATTTAAAATGACAGTCCAGAAATGCGCCCATACACACTTCTGATTTAAAATAAAATTACTCAGAATATTTAAATACCTTGGAATTATTTAAATTTACACATGTCAGAAACATTTATTTATTAATAATCAATTAATAAATTCAGATTAGGCACACTAATAATCTCAATTACCTTAATTAATCTCAATTAATTCTTCAGGGTGTTACATCCACGCTCAACATCGTTACGACCATGAGGTCCACGACCTCTAGTACGTCTACCATGGCTCGGATTTGTAGTTTCCTCAGCAGCTCCTTCTGGGGTTTGCAATTCTTGCGTTTGAAAAATATTAGTAGGAAATTGCCCTTCTTCAATGTTGAATTGAGCATCAACGGGAATATCGCCACCATAACCAGAAGAATCCATTATGAAAAATAAGAGAGATCGAGAGCGCTTTGAGAGAGATTAAGAGAGATCGAGAGAGATTTGAGTAAGATTAAGAGAGATTTGAGAGAGTTTGAGAGAGTTTGAGAGAAATTAAGAGAGGATGAGAGTTTTTGGGTGAGAAAAATGGTTGGGGGAAAGGGGGTATTTATAGAAAATTTTTTGGCTTGAAAAAAAATATTTCCCTCAAAAATTCGGCTCCAACGGTAGCTTCATTTTCCAGCGGGTTGGGTCGGGTTCAGGAAACTTGGGCAACGGTAAAAAAAGAGCCGTTGGAGTCGGGCATGAGGGCGGTGGGTCGGGTCGGGCAAAATGTAGCCGTTGCATTCAAAATTTAGGCTAACGGTCAAAAAGTGAGATCGGGTCTGGTTAGGCAAATTCAAAAACTAGCCGTTTTTGGGATTTCGGGCAACGGGTCAGGGTTCGGGTTACGGTGGAAAATTCAAAAAAAAAAAAAACGCGCGGCCGGCGGTCACGGCTCCCCTACCAGCAGCGGTATGTCGGGAAGAGTTTTTCCTCGGGTTGCCCGAGCCTAGGTAATTAGGGTGGACGGGCGGCGAATTGTGCCTGTCCGAAAATTTTCGGGCTTCGGGCAGGCTTGCCGCTCAAAGTTCCACAACTAATTGAAATTAAGCAAATAATAGTATAAGATTTTGAGTATAACTATCATAATATCACAAGTTTACAATAAAATAAAAAATATGTAATGAAAAATATATGTATTTTTTAGTTTTTTACGAGTTTGTGTTCGGGTTAGGTGGGTCTAACTCAAAATTGATCGTATTTTTCTTGTCAATTTCAGGTCAACTTAATTCTAACCCGGACCTCTTTTTTCTTAACTCTAATCCGTAAAATTCGTGTCGTTTTCGAGTCGTGACCCATATTACCGACTCTGCTTGTGGGGATCATGTTATCCACAATAGTTACTAACATCTCCCAATCACCATCTCAAAAGCCAAATAAATGCAGAAACATTGCCAAAAACAAAAATATTCTGAATTAATTGGCTTCCTTATTAATTAATTCCTTTCTTGTCGAGATTATTTCAAGTTCAACAACCTTTTTCTACAAGTAGTCTTAAAACAACGTTGGAGATACTTAGTGCAATTTGCACATAGTAAAGGGTTTCTTGTCCTATAAATGAGTTTTATTTCCCCAAAAGTTTATAAAAGCGAGACAGCTTATGGAAGAACACATGATTGCGTATATCTATGCCAATGGTGGCGTCCTCTGCGCACGGTGAGGAAGTTGGATTTTGGCATTTTGCTCCCTGTCGTTTCTGCTGGGCCCTCTAATCAAAGACACATGTCGGCAAATCTTAAATGTTAAAGAACGAGCAAATTTTTACGATTTATCTTTATCTTTATCTTTTTTTTTTTGTGCTGAGAATTTACGATTTATCTTTTCCCATGTGCTCTTACTTCATGCAGAGCAATACTCAAAAGCCAAGTATAATATAATTTGTTTTTTTAAAAAAAAAAAAAAAAAAAAAAAAAAAAGGGAAGAAAGTTTGGAGACCAATAATTTCCATTTTTTCCATAGGAGATTTGTAACGTACCCATTATTGCTAAGCTCTTAACCATTTTTAAGACCTCAAATTTCTACAAAAATGTTTAGCAAAATCAATGGAGTGTCTTATTTATACACACATACACACATACATCAAAAGTTCAGAAATTCTTAATATGAGCCACAAAAATATAAACGGTCGGTAGCGTTTTTTCTTTTCCTCCAGAAAATCTTGTCCCCTTTCTTTTCCGTGAAAATAGAAAACATTTTACATTGGGAATAATAATATCCAATCCAACGAGAGAGTGGTTTATCTGGGTTTTCAGCTTTTCATGTTCTTTTTCCTTCTCTTCCCTTCTTTCGCAACCTTGCATTTTCTATCTCTCTCTCTCTCTCTCTCTCTTAGTCCCCACTTTTGTTCCTAGTCATTTCTCCTAAAATGCGCTCTGTACCCACCATTCCAAATCTCCAGCTCTAGGCCCAAACCATGACCGTCCAATCCCAGACCCAGGCCCGCCGTCTCTCAACCTGTCACCGTCACCCTAGCACTCCCATCACCGGCTTCTGCGCCTCATGCCTCCGCGAACGCCTCGCCGGCATCGAGGCCGCCGCCAACCAGGAGGCCCCCTCTGGGTCCCGCATCCCCAGCGGTTCGGAGCTCCGTCGCAGCAAATCTTGCTCCGGTCGGAAATCCGACAACTTCTCGAACCCTCCGGATGCTCCCCGGCGGAGGTCGTGCGATGTTAGGGCTCGGAGCGGCAACAACAACAGTCTGTGGCGCCTCTTCAACCTCGACGACGAGAGGAGAGGCGCGCCGAGGAAGTTCGAGGTCGAATTGGGGAACCTAGGGTTTGAGTTGAAAGAAGAGGACGAGAACGAGAATGAGAGTGAGATTAGGATTTCCGAGAATGTGATGAGGAATGGAGGAGATCAGGCCGACGAAGAGGGAATAGAGCTGAAGAAGATGAAGGAATTTATAGATCTCGAATGGCGGAGGAAGAAGGGCGGTACGGCGAGGGATTTCAAGGACATTGCGGGGACATTTTGGGAAGCCGCCTCTGGTCTGAGCAAGAGACTGGCGAAATGGAGGCGAAAGACGAAGAAGATCGGAGGCGGCGGCGAAGACGGCGGCGTTTCGGCGGTAGAGAAGCGGTGCCCGAGGCGGCCGAGGGAGACGCAATCGGAGATCGGAGAGTACGGATTGGGGCGGAGATCTTGCGACGCGGATCCGAGACTGTCGGTCGACGCCGGCCGAATGTCGTTGGACGATTACAGATACTCGTTCGACGAGCCGAGGGCTTCTTGGGACGGGTATTTGATGGGCAGAGCCGCGTACCCAAGGTTGAGTCCGATGCTCTCCGTCGTAGAGGACGCGAAGTTCTCCGATGGCGAGGCCGAGAATTGGTCATCGAGTAATGGGAAGAGGAGTTCGGCCGGCGACGGGGAGAGGAGCCCCGGCGGTTCGGCACAGACCAAGGATTACTATTCGGAGTCGCTTTCCCGGCGTAGAAGGAGTTTCGATTGTCCGAATTCTCTGCACAGGAAAGGACTTCTGGCTGAAGTTGACGACTTGAAGCCAATTTCGAACGCCAAGGTGTCGCCGGCGACAATGGAATTGTTCTACGGAGCGAAGCTACTTATAACCGATAGAGATTTGAGGGATGCCAAGTTGAAATCTGTGAAAGATGAGAGCTTGGAGAGTGCTGTTGAATGTGCTTCCAAGGAAGCTGCTCCAGCTATTCCAATTGGGGTTGATCAAAAGGGGCTGAAGAAGTCACAAGGTTGGCACAAAATGTGGAACTTGTGGAGTCCCAAGCAGAGGCACAACGAGCGAAAATGCCGTGACGGAGGAGGCTTATTGGTAGGAGGAAATGTGGGTGATGATTCTTGGAATAAGCTGAGGGTGGCTAATGGAGAAGCAAACGGGGCTGTGAGTCAGAAGCTTATTCGTAGCTATAGTGTTAGCTGTAGGAACCATAGTAAAATGGCTGGATTGTTGAGTAACGCAAGTGGTGGTGTTGAGAGCAAAGGCAATTTGTTGAAAAGCAGAGAAGAGTTTATGCTGCAGCGCAACCGGAGTGCGAGATATTCACCGAGCAACATCGATAATGGCCTGTTAAGATTCTATTTGACGCCATTGAGGAGCCATAGGAGAACTCAATCGGGAAAGAGTAGGCTAAAGAGCTCGCATTCGACAGCGGCGAAGAATGTTTTGTAAAGGTTCCACCACTTATTCCTAGTACCACGCTGTAAAGACATTCAATTGGTGTTCTGTTTTTTATTAAAGCATAGTTATATGGTTATTTCTCTGCGTAAATTGTTCTTTTATTTTCTCACTAGTGCTAGTAAAAGAAATTAGCATATATATATTTTTTAATCATCTGGAGATGTAGTTGAAATCACTTTGTTATGTTCCAATAAACAATTCGGAGTAGTGGGTCATCCATGGAACTTGTTGGTCGGTAAGACTTTAGAAGTGTGAAATTAGCATATATTTGTCTCAATTGCGTATGATTTTATCTTCATTTGTTAGGATCTTACCCTAAATTTGGTTCACTGGACTCATGAGTACACTTGTTAAGTTGGCAGCCACAACGTATTTATGGCCATCAAAGTGACACACTAACACATACACCTCTCGTGAGCTTCTTTATGTTCCCAATGAACTCCTTTCTAACATTTACCCAACTCCACGCTTTACTAGCAATAAAAGAAGGCTAATAAATCTGGTCCCAACTTGCTCTGCGGTGAATTCGCCATAAGTTTGAGAACATGCATTTGTAACTCCTCATACTTCCAAGGCAACAAGGCTTATGAAACTTTTAAGTCGCTTTGGGGAATCTATTTGCCTTTATATCAATATTTAACTTCCAAAAATTGATTAATCTGTATTGGTTTGCAAGCAAAAAGTCTCCATTTTAAGGGAAAAAGCCTTCCTTCCTTCATTACTATGTGGTAGAGCATTCTCTTGTAAAATAGGAAGCCAACTGAAAACTGAGATGGGAACTTCAAATATACACAAATCAACTAAAAAAAGAAACATATCTATAATCTGATAACAGTAGACAATTGGGATTTTTTTTTTCTCAACTCAGTTTATACCAAGAACATCAAAGTTCATAGGACCTCATAATACAAGAGAAACGCCATTAAGTTTCACCAGACCAAACCACAAAGCTTTCACTCCCTCACATTTCATAACAAATACACGTAATAACATAAAACAAAAACAAAAACAAAAAAAATCACTCAATGTCAAAGCCCTTCTCCTGAAGCTCCAAAATGACCTCATTCCTGATCCTCAGCCAGAGCTTCTGAGCTTCCTGATGCAACTTCTTGTCCTGCAACTCCTGGTGATAGTTATAGGCATCTTTATCCAACTCAGGGACCCCTTTGGGGCCAATCGCTGTACCGATCATACCGCCCTTCGCAATGAACTCTTCCATTGCTTCCTTGTCTCCCGGGTATGGAAATTCCCTCCGCTCATACAAGTGTGCTAATTCTCTCTCTTCCTTGGGCTTAGGCTTCAGCGTCCACCAACCCAGCGGCGAAGTCTCGTTGTACCACCAACAAGCACCGATAAGCGCGTAGGCGGAGAGTAGACCCTTTCCGATTTGTTTCCAAAACGGATAGTCTTTTCTTCCCAATCCTATTCTGGACAGGTACTTGTCGTAATTCATGGACTTGAGCAATTCAAATCCTGAGATAGTTCAAAAGCGTTAAAACAAAAAGGCTTGGTGCTGAAGAAACATTTAGTCGAACACTTGGAGGGCGAGATAAACATTACACACGCATTTCACCGAGCTTTTCGGAGTCGGTGCGTCAAAATTAAAAATTTGCTTTTTTCGAAGATTAATTCTGGTTTGATATTTCGATAAAGTTGTGGAAAAAATTTTGTTTGCAGTAATTGGAAACTAAAAGTATACCTGTTTTCGCTGGCTGGTAACGCTTTCGTACCATTTTGATCTTGTTTTTTCAGGTCGATTGGCTATTCTGTGAATCTCTTTTTAGTTCTCTCTCAATTTTTGGACTCTTTTTATTCTTATTGTTATCGTCGTTTCCTAAGATCTTGTCGTTTGCACGTCGATGTCGTCCTTAAGAGGTTATACTAGTCGCTCAAATGTTGTAGACGCTTGTTGATTGGCTTTATCATTTTTAGAGACGTCTTTTTTGTCAATTATTATCGCTTTAAATTAATTGTTTTTTTTTTTTTTTTTTTTTTTGTTGATAATTGGACGTTTTAAATTATTGTTGTTTCCAATAAATGATCTCCTTTCTCCAGAGGTTGTCGTTTTATCAGTCTTTGTCGTTTCCTAAGCTCTTTTAAGTTTTGAACTGGTAAGAACACAACATAAAGGTCTCGTTTTTTTAATTTTAAGTCTTTACAGTTAAAAGCTCTCAAAATATCACATTTAACTTTTTTTGTTACAGTTAAAATTTTTTAAAAAATATCACATCTCAATTTGAATTGAAAACTCGAATTTACAGAGCGAACAAGTGTTGGGAGCTTGGGAGCTGGCTTATTACGGTCAAGACACAATTCACATATCTAAATAATCGTTTCGCTTATGAACTTGTCGTTCACAACTGCAAGAAATGATGCAATTATTTAACTATTGTCGTCCTTAAAGTAACTGTTGTCTATAAAAGATTGCCCTCTAGAGGTTGAATACTTTTTTTTATCTTCGTTACTATGTATTACAATAATTCAGCAACAAAAAAGCAGACTAGCATTTTAAAGCGACATGCACTTCAAGAAGACCTTATACACTATACCGTACAGAAATACTATTAAACCACAACACAACACATATGGTGTCTCCACATCACACTTCTTCACTAGACGAGACCGCCATCAACGGAGAGTTCCCATGGACCTCTTGTACTTGTACCACTTAGAGATCACAAGAAAAGCGCCCAAGTTTATAACACTGAGGATTGCCAACAACCAGAAGAAGTAATGTAGGTGACCATAGTTCAGATTGTCCGGGATCCATCCACGCTTTCCATGCCTAGTACTCACTTTCGTGACTATAGTCACAAGTAGGGAACTCAAGTAGTTCCCCAGAGCGACGGTTGTGAGCGACAGAGCTGAGCACAAGCTCCTCGTGGCGTCAGGCGCTTGCTCATAGAAGAACTCCAGCTGTCCAATGAAGGTGAAGACTTCTGCGCACCCAATGAGGAAATACTGCGGAACTTGCCAGAAGATCGACATGGGAATGGAGTCGAGTTCGTAGTAGTTGTGCCTCCGAACAATCCTAAGTCTGACAAGCTCCACAACACCGGCGGACAACATTGCGAAAATGGAGATGAAAAGGCCTATCCCCATTCTCTGGAGCTGAGTTATGCCGTTCTTGTGGCCTGTGAATTTTCTGGCCACAGGTACAATGATCCTGTCATAGATCGGAACCCATATGATGACGCTGATTGTGTCAAAGATGGAGAGGGAGGCTGATGGGATTTTGAACGACGAGGGGGCAAGACGGCGGTCCATCGTCAAGCCTTGCAAGACGAATAAGCTGCCCATCTGGCTGTAGACTGCAGAGAACATAATGCCAGTGGCCCATATGGGAAGCAGCCGTATGATGGCCTTAAGCTCCTCTACTTGTGTGACTGTGCAAAGCATCCAGGGGTTTACCGAGTCCTTTATGTGGTCGGTTTGTATCTCCACTGCAGCTTTGTCAAAGAATCTGAAACAATACAACGTTTGGTAAGAAACATATCAAAATAATAGTCCCCTTTAAGAAATTAAACTCCAACTTCCCTTTTTATATAAGTCAAGGTTCTTATCAAGTGAGATGATTTTTCATTAAAAATAATTGTTTTTAGTTTAGTTCCACCTTAGAGAACAAGTGTAATAGACTCTTGTTAAGCTTTCGAGTTGAGAAACTTGCCTAAAATCTTGTGTGTGATCAAGCTTTCGGCTTCCTTTAATGACAGATTCAGCATCGGCAACCTCATACAAAAGAGCCTTATCAGCAGGTACTTCGACCCAGCGCTTTCTCATGGCTGCCACCACTACCTGAGCAATGCGTATCAGAGGGCTGCCCCCCGGCTTCTGGTTTCTATACAGCCGAGTACCCGAAAAGAAGCTCACAATAGCAACTGCCATGGTTGCTGCTGGAATTCCAAAGCCCAACCCCCAACTCACATTTTCTTGCACCCATACCAGAACAGAGCTAGCAATGAGAGCACCGACATTGATTGAAAGGTAAAACCAATTGAAGAAAGAAGCCTTATGCTTCTTTTCAACCTCATCGGCGTCATCGAATTGATCTGCTCCATATGAGGAGACACAAGGCTTAATCCCACCCGTTCCAAGCGCTATCGTGTAAAGTGCAAGAATGAAGGCAGCCTTTTGTGAATCTGTAGCATGACAACCATCATTTCCATGGCAGGTTGGCTTTAGGCCAGGGACTGATGCTGTCAATGTCAAAAACGTCATTCCCTATATGATGAGTTGAAGAAAAATGGGATAAGTAGTCTTGTCAAGAAACAAAAAAGTAAGCTTTCAAATTCCTTTTGGAGATTTTGCAGCTCTGGAAATAGTTATAGAAGTTAGTAATTGAAGCTCAATTCGTGCAACTGACTACAATGCAAAGGTGAAATGTTTCCCCTTTGAGTTCTACACCACTTGATCCAGACTTGCAAGAGTATAAGAACTAGATAAAAGTATAAGAAGTTTTAGTCAGTCCAACTTACAGTGACATAGATGGTTGAGAAAATGGCGATAGTCCAGTATCTTCCTAGATAAGAATCGGCCAAAAATGCACCGATCAAAGGCGTGATGTAGCATGTTCCGCTCCAATTCAAAGTATTATTAGCAGCAGTAGAGCTATGCTGGCCTAGTCGTTCCTTGAAATATGTCACCAGGTTAGAGCTCATCCCATAGTACGCCAATCTTTCACAAAATTCATTTCCTAGTGACAAACCAAACGGTGAAAGAAAGAAATAAGCAATGGTTTCCATGATTAGAAATGTTCCACTTATTTTTCCAAAATTAGATTGTAAATGTACCCAGAATAAAAGGGCAGGCCTTCCAGGTTCCAGTTTCTTTCTTATTAGCCGGATTTCCGCGGTGATCAATCGTCCCATCTTTTGTGTAAACATCATCATCCTCCATGACTTCTCTAACTACGTATATGCAACTTGCTTGTTTGAGAAAATTTTCTCAGAAGGCGAATTAAAGTAGGAATCGGGAACGAACTAAAACTGCAGAAAACAAATAAACCGAGGCTGTACATCAATTTTCTTTACAGACATGATTGCAATTAAACATACTGAGCCCACTTCACTAAGAAACATTTTTTGTTCCTCGTTACATTAATTACACAAATAACTGTTGCTGCAAAATTTTGCTCCAAACCCAGTTCACTAGTCTAGTTCCATGAAACTAATTTTGCCAAAGGCATATATATTATCAGTCACTCAAGTAGAAATTAGAAAGAATAATCAAAACCAAGAGACTGCATATGGGAAAGTAAGCATTTTTTCTTGCCAAAGAAGGGAAAAAAAAAAAACTATAAGCATTTTTTCTTGCCAAAGAAGGAAAAAAAAAAAAAAACTACTTGTTTCTTTAATCTAGGCATGAAAAGCAAACATTTTTGGCAACCATTTAACGTAGGTAAAGGGAGAGATGAAAAGACATATTGGCAGAGAGGAACAAGCAAAAGATGGAGCACTAGAGATTTCTGGAAAAGGAACCAAACCTGGTACTTCATTTGGCAACTCAAATCATGCAAGAAAGCAGAAAAGACTTTGCTCAAATACACAAAAAAAGAGGCAGTGAGGGTTGTTATAACACTAGGGAGTTTCCACTTTTTAATGGTCTGATCTATCTCGTGATTTGTTAACTCTCTTTTTCTACTCTTTTGGCTGAGAAGAGCACTTCAAAGAAGATTTTGCTTACGGCGCCCTGGGTCTCTGACTATTCTCCAACGACGATGAGCGGAGAGACGAATTTGTTGACTCTTCTTTATGAGAAGTCAACTAAACTGTGTAAAGACAACTTTTCACGTCCACTGATTAAAAGATTTTACATGTGACTTTGTGAGTAAGAAGACATTTTTTATTATTATTATATTAGATGAGAGCTCACAACTTATTTTCATCATCTAATAACTATATCCAGAAATTTTCAGATATTTTATATTTCTTATATTAAGATTCTAGGATCATCTATATTGACTTAAAAGTCTCCTTAAAAAACAAAAAATGATTCTTGTGGGGTCTTAGATTGCATTAAGTCTGGGTGGGATGTAATCATATATAGGTGGCTATGGACTCTTTCTTGTGCGTTCCCATTGTAATTGGAGTGACCACTAATTAGAAATAAAAACTTTTTAAAAGCCCAAAAAGATGTTGTTGTAAAATTGGCTAGGATTTTAACAGCTCAACAAAGGAAGGAAATGAAGCAAAGACACGTGGGCAAGTTTAGATGGTTACCAAACACACGTGGGTAAGTCTACATGGTTACTGCGTGTTGTAGTATATAGGAATAATACTGCAGAGCCAAAATTTGGAATAAATAGTAGATTTGGATCAGTTGTGTAATGACCGAAACAATTTTAGAATCAAATAATATAAATTTATTTATTTAAGTTAAGAATTTTTTTATTTTGTGACTGAAAGATTTATGAAATTAATATAAGTATTCTTAAATTTTGTAGTAAATTTTATGATTAATTCATAAAATTAAGAGCAAGTAAATTCAGTCGATAAATTCTTACCGCAATTAAGGCAGAAGAATTCTCAATGCATATACAGTTTGAGAATTTAATCTCAGAAATCTCTCAGTACAGTACAATGTTAGTAGCGTATAGAGAAACGCTTTGACATTAAAAGATAAAACCCTTAATTTCTGAACAGATAAGGGAAATTATAAGGGTAAAGCTTTTAGTAGAAAGATAAAGATACAATATGAGCTCGGGAGTTGATAATGTTAGAAATGATGTCATTCCCGGGATATAGTGCAGAAAAAGTTAAGATTAAAATTTATGTAGTCTAGAAATGTTTTCAAGACTGAAACAGTCTGAAATATTACAGCATTAAGAGATTAATTTGATCTTAAATTATTCAAGAATTATTATCAGACTATAAATAAACAACAGAAAAAGAACCGTTAGAAACAAAAATTTCCTATCGGCTAAGCTAATTCCCTACAGTCGATATAAATTGTGACTGCTTTATAGAGAACCTTAAGAGATAAGCTTAAGGAAGTAATGATGAGCTTGTATTTATGAGGGGGACAAATGTTGATCAACCATTGGAGATAAGAAATTTGGGAATCCTCTCTTTTTCTTCTCCAATTACGGCCGGACACGTAGATGGCCAAATGGCGATTAATGATTAGATGAGTGTAGCCGGCCAATGAGATAAGAGCACCTAATGGATAAAATCAAATTATCTATCATCCTTTGCTTATGTTAGCAAGATGACATCAAGTAATTAATTGAGAATTTAAGTGAAGTATGATATAGTTACCGATTTTTAGACGCAATAAGAAAAGAAGTGCAGAATGTTGTGTTGAACCCACATGTGGGCCAACACATGAATATTAAGGTTAATAAGTGAAAAAGAATTGAAAAACATCAATTCTAGGGTTTTAGAAACAATCAGAACGAAAAACGGACGAAAAAGGGGTCTGAAAGATCGAACCGAGAAAATTAAGATTTTTGACTGGTTGGGGTTGACCGAGTTGAAATATTATTGACCAAAGAGTTGACTAATAGATCATACTTGAAAAGTTAGTCAAGGTTGAATAAAGTTGACCAACTGTCCAGAAAACACAGATAAAATGCGTACCGGTTAGAAATCAAACTGAACCGGAAAAGAGATAACCATTAAATATGGATGGTTGAGATTTAAAGTGACTTTTTGGATGGAGGGCTGAGAGCATGCCATTTGCTTAGTAAGGCGGCTGGCCAAGCTTGCACAATAAGCCAAGAAGAGATATTTTTAGTATATTTTTATAAAAAAGACCCTAAAAGTTGAAAAATTGCTCTTAGGCCCCTCATTTTCTTCCTCCAATGTGTTTTAAGTGTAAAAACACAATAAAACACTCTCTTTTCATGCCAAAAACCAGTGAGTGTTCATCCAAGAGAGAGGAGAAAAATGATTTACCAAAAGTGAAGAAAAGGGAGTTTTAAGAGGAAATCGATCGACCTACTGAGGATTAGAGACACCAGAGCTTGTTCTTCATTCTTTTAAGGTGAGATTTTAATTTTTCCTCTCATTTCCTTACCTTGGCCAAATTCATGGATGTGGAAAAGAGTATGGAGAAAGTTTGCTAAGTTGATGATTGAATTTCAATTGATAAAGGAATTGAAAATTTAGTGATTAAATGTTGAATTTTTAGTTGTTAGATTATGTTTCTAGCAACTTTTGGATATGAAAATCCTTATGAGAATTTGGATAAACCTTAGAGTATGATTTCTAAGATGATAAGATTATATGAGAAAGATTGTGGGTTATGTCTAAAAGTTGGATTAATGGATAAAACGAGCTAAGAATAGCTTAGGAAACACAGAAAAAATCAGGCAAAACTCTGCCGGATTTTAGTTTGAGAATTTGAAGTTAAAACTTAGTTTTAGTTCTAAATAGAAGTTTTAAACTAGTTTTTAGAAAACACCCCAAAACTAATAAAACAGTTTCGGTGTTAAACAGAAGAGTTCATTAAGGAACTCGAAGTATAATCTCAAGAAAGTATTTTGAGTTTAGACCTTGGTTAATGAAAAAATAAGGTTATGGAGATTCAATAAACCTAATCTTTAAGTTTGAAACAAGGTTTTCAATCCTCTAAGGTAAGAAAGAGAAAGAAAGCCATAAGTAGAGAAATCAAATTTTCTTATAAGCTTGCTAAAATAAAATAACAAGTGAAAGTTAATCTCACACTCTTAGTGGGTGTTTATTCTCAGAAATAAGCACGAAAGAGAACAGACAGTGTGGCGAATAGAGGATTCCACTCCTTAAAATAGGTAAGTAGGAATCTCGCCTACAGTATGAATATATTTTAAAATAAACAGTACATATGAATTAAATATGTTTGAGTATATTTCATGTTATAGTGTGTTATGCTATGTCATACTGCAATAAGAATAATCTCAGTTGAGTGTCGTACCAGCCTCCTAGTTGAGAGGTAATCCAGTTTCAGAGCCTAGGTATTACAGTTTCAGAACCTCCTAGTTAAAAGGTAATTCAGAGCCTCCTAGATGACTAAATAAGAGGTACTCTAGCATAAGTGAGGCATTCAGTTCAATTTTACTTACGAAGTTGATGAGAGCCTTATGAACCCTAATGTCCCGTATATCGCGCGTAATGGTACGAGCACTCGGGCCCATCTGTAAGCAAGATAAGATCAGACAATAAAATTATGATAAACCATTATAATTAAGCATAATCAGTTCATGCATATGTATTCATGTGAACTTACAGTTGTTTTACGAGATATAGTTCCTACTTACTGAGCGAAAGCTCATTCAGATATATTCATATTGTAGGTAAAAAGCTTATCAGTAATTCTTTACAGGCAGTGGCAAACGACGGACGAGTGGAGATTGGAGAATAGATGGCACACGCAATTATTTTCACATCAATTTAAAGTGTTAAATAGTTTTGTTAAATGAGACTTTGACATTATATGTAGCAAGTTTGTACTATGTTTATCAAGTTTATGTAAGTAAGCACGATTTAAGAAGTATATACATATGTATATATTTATGCTTTAGAAAAAGGAACAGTTTCAAGAATAACATTTTAATGTGTTTAAAAAGGAAAGTTAGAATTTTATGTTATTATGATATAGCATTTTGAGAGAAAAAAATTTATGTTCAGAATGTTATAACATTTGTTATAGCATTTTATTTTTTTAAAAATACTACAACATTCTATACAACATTTAAAAAAAAATTCGTCAAGTTTCTCAGAAATTTCAAAAAGTATAAGAATACTAAAGTCATTTACAATGATGGTTACCTAATATGGTCATTCTAAAGTCATCAGTGATGATTACCTAATATCGTCGTTTCAGTTGGTATCAGAGTATAGTTATAGTCGCAGTCAGGGTCGTCTCAAGTTGTCATTTTCGGTAGTTTCTTGTTACATAGAGAAGACAGAGAGAGAAACTCTAGAGGAGAGAGAAAAAGCTCTAGAGAGTGTACTATCTTGATCTGCCATTAATGAAAATAAGCTCTGTTGATGAATTCTTTTGATTTTGATTTTTCTCTTTGATTTGTTCTGTGTGTGTGATGTTGTGATCTAGTTATCTTGCTTTGAGAATTGTTATGGAAATTCCAGAGGTTAGAACGACAAATTGGTATCAGAGCTTCGTCAGCGATGGGATCTGCAAAGTTTGACATTGAGAAATTCTCAGGCAAGAACGACTTGGGGCTATGGCGTTTAAAGATGAGAGCTCTTCTTGTACAACAGGGACTCAAAGAAGCCTTGGGAGGTGAGAAAAATCTTCCAACCACTCTTTCTAATAAAGAAAAGAAAGAAATTCTTGATAAAGCACATAGTGCCCTAATTCTCTGTTTGGGGGATAAAGTTCTGAGGGAGGTCTCGAAGGAGAAGAGTGCATCAGCTGTTTGGTTGAAATTGGAGAATTTGTATATGACAAAATCTCTGGCAAACAGATTGTATCTGAAACAAAAATTGTACACATTCAAGATGCCACCGGGGAAATCACTCGAAGATCACATGGATGATTTTAATAAGGTGATTCTTGATCTCGAAAACATTGACATCAAGATCGATGATGAGGACCAAGCATTGCTTCTGCTCAAATCTTTACCAAGCAAATTTGACAGTCTCTCAGCTACGCTAATCTATGGCAGGGATTCACTCACTCTTAAAGAAGTTCAATCAGCGCTATTTTCGAAGGAGCTGAAGAAGAAATCCAAATGAAAGGAGGAAGGAGCAGCAGAGGGCTTGAATGTCAGAGGGAGACTTGAAAAGAGGGATTTCAAGAGCAAGAAAGGACATAGATCGAAGTCAAAAATTAGGCGAAAGTGCTTCATATGTCATAAGGAAGGCCATCGGAAGAAAGACTGCCCAGAAAGAAAGAAATTAAGTTAAGAAATACCCAAAGATGCAGATGTTGCCTCAGATGGGTATGAAAGTTCTGAGTTACTATGTGTAACAAACTTGAAAACCCACAACGAATAGATTCTTGACTCCGGGTGTTCATTCCATATGTGCCCAGTCAAGGATTGGTTTCTTTCATACAAAAGTGTCAATGGTGGTCAGGTTTTGCTTAGTGATAACAAGGCTTGTACAGTAGTGGGAATTGGCTCAGTTAGATTGAAGCTTGTAAATGGGACATAGAGGATCCTACAAGATGTCAGGCATGTTCCTGAACTCAAGAGAAACTTGATTTCTCTTGGGATGCTTAATGGTCAAAATCACTGGTATAAGGCTAAGGCAGGAGTTCTAAAAGTCATGAAGGGTTCTATGGTGGTAATGAGAGGAACACTTGAGAACGGCTTGTACTTGCTTCAGAGGAGGGCAGTGGTAGGATCAGTTGCAACAGTGTCCAAGAATGAAGCTTCAAAGAGCCAAATTTGGCTCGTGAGAATGGCATATATCAGCGAAAATGGCTTAAAGGAACTGAGCAAGCAAGGTCTTTTGGGGAAGGACAAACCCACAGAGTTTTGTGAACATTGTATCTTTGGAAAAGCCAAACGATTGAAGTTTTCTCCTACAGTGTACCGCACCAAAGGAATTCTGGACTATATTCATTCAGATCTTTAGGCCAACACACACTGGTTCAAGGTTTTTTCTTTCCTTAATAGATGACTATTCAAGGAAAGTTTGGATTTACATCTTGAAGAATAAAAATGATGCTTTTGAAAGATTTAAAGAATGGATGACTCTAATGGAAACACAGACTAACATGAAGGTCAAGAAACTATGAACAGATAATGGACTAGAGTTTTGTGAAGAATTATTTGATCAGTACTGTAAGGATGTGGGAATTGCTAAACGCCATACTGTAAGGAAGATACTACAACAGAATGAGTTAGCTAAAAGGATGAATTTGACCATAATGGAGAAAGTTAGATGTATGTTGTCAAGTGCAAATCTCTCTAAGAATTTCTGGGCAGAAACAGCAGTTACTGTTGTGTACTTGATCAATAGAAGCCCTTCTAGAGCAATTGATCTTAAAACACCAGAAGAAAAATGGCCAAGACATCTTCCAAACTTGGAAAATCTGAGAGTTTTTTACTGCGTAGCCTATGCTCACATTAACCAAGGTAAACTGGAAACCAGAGCATTAAAATGTATGTTTTTGGGATATCCAGAGGGTGTAAAGGGATATAGATTGTGGTGCATGGAGAAGGTCATCCTAGAGTCTTTAATAGCAGAGATGTGGTTTTCAGAGAGACAGAGATGTACTACTTAAAAGAGAAAAACAGTAATGTGATGGACCAGTTGGAGGTGGAGACAACCGAAACTGCTAGAGAACCAGAGATTGAGCCTGAAGAATAAGAGGTGGAGCACCATGAGACATCATAGGAGTATTTGTTAGCAAGGGATAGGCAGAGAATACGTGTCCAACCACCAGAAAGATTTGGATATACAGAGATGATTTCTTTTGTTCTTACTGCAGCAATGGACATAGAAGATGATGAACCTAGGACTTATAAGGAGGCTATGACAAGAGGAAGCAAGCAGCTGGATTGAGACCATGGAAGATGAGTTGAAGTCTTTGTATAAGAACAAAACTTGGGAGCTGGTGGAGAAAACCAAAGGGCAGAAATTGGTGGGTTGTAAATGTGTTTATAAGTTGAAGGATGAAATTCCAGGAGTTGAGAAGCCGAGGTATAAGGCGAGGCTCGTAGCTAAAGGGTTCACACAGAGGGAAGGAATAGATTATCATGAAGTCTATTCTCCTGTAGTGAAGCATAGCTCAATAAGGATATTGTTGTCTCTAGTTGCTCATGAAGACCTAGAACTTAAGCAATTAGATGTGAAAACAGCTTTTCTTCATGGAGAATTGGAAGAAAATATTTACACGACATAGTGAGAAGGATATGTGATTAAAGGAAAAGAAGACATGGTTTGCTTGTTAAAGAAATCCCTTTATGGTTTGAAGCAATCACCACGACAGTGGTATAAAAGATTTGACTCATTCATGCTCAAAAGTGGTTTTCAGAAGTGTGCACATTACAACTGTGTTTACAACAAAGTGATTTCAGAAAGTAGAGTCATTTACTTGTTACTCTACGTGGATGATATGTTAGTAGCTTGTAAAGACATTGAAGAAATCAAGCTAGTCAAGGAACAACTTAAAAGTGAGTTTGAAATGAATGAGATGGGCCTGCAAGTAAGATTTTAGGCATGCAGATAATCAAAAACAGGTTGGAGGGAACACTTTTTGTGTCTAATGTAATTACATTGAGAAAGTCTTAAAAAGATTCAATATGTATCAGTCTAAGCCTGTTTTGACACCATTGGGGCAACATTTCAAACTTCTGAAGAGGAAAGATATATACTGAGAATACCTTATACCAATGCTGTGGGAAGATTAATGTACGCCATGATCTGTACATGTCCAAATCTAGCCTATTCAGTAAGCGTTGTCAATAGGTATATGGGGAAATCAGGGAGGTCGCACTGGGAAGCAGTCAAATGGATCTTCAAATATCTTAAAGGATCAGCTGGGAAAGGTTTGCTATATTAAAGGCATGACAAAGACAACAGTTTGGTGACATGTTTTGTTGATTCAGACTATGCTGGTTGTTTAAATACCAGGATGTCTCAAACTAGATATATCTTTGAGTTTTGTGGTAATACCGTGAGCTAGAAAGCTAATCTTTAGCATGTAGTGTCTCTTTCAACAACGGAGGCTGAATCTATATCTGTTAGATAAGCTATAAAGGAGGCTATATGGATGCAAGGGATCGTTGAGAGTCTGGGATTAGGCAGAACAGTTGCAAAGGTCTTTTGTGATAGTCAAAGTGGGATCCACTTAGCTAAAAGTCAGTTCTATCATGAAAGGACAAAACACATTGATGTAAGGTTTTATTTTGTCAGAGAAGTAATTGTAAAGGGTGAGGTGAATTTGGTGAAAGTGGTAACAGAGAAAAATCCAGTTGACATGCTTACTAAGCCATTGCCAGGTTCCAAACTTAAGAATTGAGAGTTGCTTCGGGTAGCAGATTGGAAGAAGAAAACATGTTAAAATCAAGCCAAGGTAGAAAATTGTTGTAAAATTGGCTAGGATTTTAACAATTCAACAGAAGAAGGAAATGAAGCAAAGACTCGTGGGCAAGTTTACATGGTTACCAAACACACGTGGGCAAGTCTACATGGTTACTATGTGCTGTAATATATAGGAATAATACTGTAAAGCCAAAATATGGGATAAATAGAAGATTTGGATCAGTTGTCATTTTCGGTAGTTTCTTGTTACAGAGAGAAGATAGAGAGAGAAACTCTAGAGGAGAGAGAAAAAGCTCCAGATAGTGTACTATCTTGATCTGCCATTAATGAAAATAAGCTATGTTGAGGAAATCTTTTGATTTTGATTTTTCTCTTTGATTTGTTCCGTGTGTGTGTGATGTTGTGATCCAGTTATCTTGCTTT